CTTAACAACATTGAACTTCTTCATTGTCTCTTTCCACAGATGTAGTTGATTTGAATCCTGTGTGTTCCATATGGTGAAGTTCAAATATGCAGTCACTGTTTACATTGTTGAAAAAAAAAGATATTTGCAACGAAGAAGTCACTGGTCTTTCAAAATTCTACCACGTGACCTCCAGCTTCGTTTCTGTCAACAAGGCCATGTTTCCAACTATCTATCCCTTCTCTTTGTTTCCATATACAGTTTCTTGCAAAGTGTTAAGAAATAGAGTAGCATATTTAATGGAATATTATTCTTAAAGCTAGAATAAATTATTTGGATAAATAGTTTCTAATATATGACACAAAAACAATAAATAGTTTTACAAATGCTGCTAAGCTAAAGCAGTATTAGTTCTGTGACATTCTTTTTAAATTAACCTGTTTATGTGCTCAAAAATATAAAATATTGACAAAAATCTCATGTATTAAAATATTCTTAGTATCTGAACATTGTATACACGGAGGATTCAATTAAATGCAAATTCCTGACACACAGTAAGCCCTGAATAATTAATGAATATGTATAGCTTAAATGAATACAGTTTTCATACACATATTCAAATAGTTAAGCGTCATAGGGTGGTGGTGGTGGTGGTGTGCAGTGGAGTCAGTTCCGACACATAGCGACCCTTGTACAGGGTTTCCAAGGCTGTAAATCTTTACAGAAACAGAAAGCCTCATCTTTCTCCCACGGAACAGCTGGTAGTTAAGAACTGCTGACCTTGAGGTTAGCAGCCCAACTCGTAACCACTACACTGCCACAGCTCCTTAAGCTTCTTATAAAAGTACATTAAAATTGCAACCATTTTTGTAACCAAAAGCAGCAATACTATAAGCCTACAAAAGATGAAAAGCAAGTACAACAACTCAAAAGCACTTAACAGTAACAGCAAACAGTGATTACACAGGAAGCCAGAGTAGAGTTTTCCCTCTGTTTTCCCTCTTTTTTAATGTTTCACTATAGTTTGGGGGAAAGAGTATTTTTAAGCAACAGTACCTAACACCTCTGGCATCAAGAAAAAATGAAGGGGTGTGGCCTTTGCTAAAATGACAACCCAACATCCTTGAGCTCACATTCATATTAAATCCGGGTAGATTCCACATTCCTTAGCACAAAATGGGTCTTTCATCAGTATTGGAAACTGTCTCTGTGAGCATATTTGCAAAGAATGAATGGAATTCTCAATGTTGCAAGTAGCTACTGAAATATTTGAAAGAACAATGAATAGATGACTTATTACAAATATTTCTTGAGCTCAGAAATACTTCTATTACAGAAACAAAGACTTTTCTCCGGAACAGTCAAGAAGAAGAGATTGAGTTTGTTAAATGAGGGTATAAATTCCCTAATGATTTTCATTCAAAATTGTTTGAATTGCCTTTTACTTGACTTTAAATCTTATTTTACTTGGAAACATTGTTTATGTTGGCATGTTTGTTTATACCTGTTTTGCTCTGTCCTGCCCCAGTAATAGGTTTAAGTGACTCCAAAGATGTGTACACTGTAACAAGATAAATATATTTCAAACAAGATAAATGAGATGAAGAGAAGCTGAATTGAAAAGACAAGATGAAGTTAGAAATGAGGTATAAAGGTACAAAAAGAATGACATTATGTACTATATTCTAATTTGAGGTAAGCAATAAACTAGGTTCTATGCTTTCAAGCAAACAATTGTAGCCCCAAAATACAAGATAAATACTCAACATTCATAAGTTAAGAAAACACTGTGAAGCAACTTGAAAAAGTTCATGGAAAAATTCAATGAGCTTCTCATTCCATTTTCCTTTGACTTGTTGAAGCACCCTCATATTTGCTCAAGGAAAATAGTCTTGATACTGAGATATAAAAACCAAAAAGTTCCAAGTGGCTCTTAAATTTATTTAACATAATTTTTAAAAATTACAGCGCCAAACCATTCCTCCTACAGCAATAATCCATTGCAATGGTCACACAGAACTCAGAGACAATAATTACAATTATAGAGTTTATTAGGGAAGTGAACAGGATCAGAAAATGCTCAGGGCACACCACTCTACCATAAGCCTCAGCCGGAAGTGACTTGGTTCTAGTTCCACAGGTAGATGCCCAACTTCAGTGCCTTGAGGCATCCGACTCTGCAGAATCCCTCAGCTGTCCTTGCTCTGTGGGCTGGGCAGTTCACTGCTCTGGTTCCTGCTCTGGTTCGTGGTTCTGCTGCTGCTGTTCTTCTGTTACTTCTCCACTGTCAGAACTTTCTGTTCCTGAGTTAGGGAGGTCCGATGAACAAGGGTCTCAAAGTCCAAAGAACACAGTCCCCTCCAGTCTTTTTCTTCTTGATGGTAGTGAGATGCCCCCTCCTGCTTCTGAGATGGTTCATTTGATAGCCATACAAGAATTTCCAGTCTTCATAATTACAATCAATTGTTAACATCCAGACCCAGCAGTGTAGAAACATTGTTTGATGGGAGTTACAGACGGATAGAAGAGACATTAGATAGTTCACTACACCACAATAACATAGGAGTGGTGGTGGTATGCCATGCAGTTGGTTCTGACTCAAAGAGACCGCACACAGGGTTACCAAGGCTGTTCATCTTTACGGGAGCAGAAAACCTCATCCTTCTCCTGTGAAACAGCTGGTAGTTTCAAACTGCTGGCCTTGAGGCTAGCAGCCTGACTCATAACCACTATGCTACCAGAGCTCCTTCACAATAATATAGCATGATAAAATTTATTTAGAAAAAAACATTTAAACATTGACAATTTCCATCAACTTTTCTTATAAAACCCATAACTGAAGCTAAAAAAGAATTATCATAAAACTCAAACTCATAAAATCAATTCTATGGAGAGTAACATTATTCTCTGTATTTATGCAGTTTTCTGATGGTCTGGTTCATTCTAGTGATGCATTTCCACATGACATGCTATTGAATAAATAAAAAAGAAATGGAAAATGGTATTATGATAACCTACAACTACTACATATTCTCCCCATCAAAGTCTTACATATCCTTTGGTAGATTTATTCCCACATAGTCTTAGTTTTCGATGCTATTATAAATGACATCTTAGAATGTACACATTTTAATTACCATATTTTTCACAAACACTGCACCCATGTCAATACTGTGCATATACATATATAATGTACATCGTACATCTAGGAAACTAAGGCACAGAGGGTTTGTGCAGTTTGCCAAAACCACAAAATGCACACATTATTTGCATAAAAAGATGGCATTACACCTTTTGTAATAATTTTGTATACAGCAATCTTGCCGAATCAATCTATAAAACCTTTAACTAGATGAAGGCGACTATTTAACCTATAACATCAATAGTAAATTGGAATTCACTTTGATCTATTGAGTCTCTGGAATGAGTTTAACAATTCCTTATAACCCGAATAGGTAACTGGTGATTGTTATTCATTCTATACTTACTAAGTGCCAACTACGTGTTAAATAGCATGATGAGCACTGGGGCCCTTCAGACTTATAAATGAGACAGTTCTACACATACCTAAGTCCAATCCATTGCCTTCCAGACAGCTCCAGAATCAACATGACCCTTAGATCAGAGGATCAAAACAACCTTTCAGGCCCTTCATTGAATTTCTTTATTTATACCAACTGTTTGTTGTTGTTGTTAAGTACCGTGGAATTGGTTCCGACTCATAGTGACCCTACACAGGGTTTCCTAAGCTGTAAATCTTTACGGGAGCAGAAAGCCTCATCTTTCTCCCACAGAACCGTTGGTAGTTTCGAACTGCTGACCTTGAGTTTGGCAGCCCGACTCATAACCACTACGCTACTAGAGCTCCTTACACCAACTGTAGTTCAGTGAATTACTTGATATGGCTCTTCTAGCCATAGTCTTCTTTATGTTGTTGTTGTTGTTAAGTGCCATCTTTATAACTCCTACCAAATGACTTGGTTGTTGTTAAGTGCTGTAGAGTCAGTTCTAACTCACAATAACACTATATAGGGCGTATGAGGAGCAGCCAGTGGGTTTGAACCTCTGACCTTGATGGTCAAACAGACCTTGTGGTCCAGTGCATATCCGACAGTGCCACCGCAGGACTAAATGGGACCATGCAAACAGAGTGTATGGAATTCTAATGTGGGGATTACCATCCCTTAGGTTTAAAATGAGCCATCTCAGAAACAGGAACAGAGATCTCATGACCATCAAAAAGAGAAGCGGCAGGAATGAAGAATGCTCTTTGGACCCCAAGTTCTTTTAAACCCCAACTGTGCTGACTGTCCTTGATCCAGGAGACAGGATGCTGTGATACCAAAGGAGCCACGGCAGTAGTGGCAGCACGAGACAAATGGGTGGGCTTCCCAGCCCACTGAAGGAGGAAAGCTGAGTGCCTTCAGGCAGGCTGCTCATGACAGAGTGGTGGTGTCTTCAGCCCAGCCTTCCTTGATACCTTCTGGGCATTACTCAGCAGCACTAAAAGACCTTTGGAACATTGTCCAATCAGGGCAGAGACCAAGTGGCTGTGTAAGTGAGAGAGCAAGGTCAGAGAGAAGTGTGCCTGTGAGCTAACTGAAAAGAGGTGTTCCTGACCCAACAACTCCACCCTGACCTGTAACCTGTTGACTTCCCTAATGAAGTCCACAACCGTGAATATGGTCTGCAATTTCTGAGCGGCCATTGTACTGCATTCTCAAAACCAGCCTAGAAACAGAGAGGGAAGGACGAATGGTATCAAAATTTGTAGAAAAGTTGGCAGGTCTGAACTCTGCCTCATAGGAATGGGCCTAAGGCTGATGTGGAGTTTGAGTGTCTTTCCCCCTTGTGAAGTCATACACCACATTCATGCCATTCTTACACCAACAAACAACAAAGCACCTTAGTTCCAAAATGAAACTATAAAAATTAAGTGACATCAAATTTCTAGTACAAAAACTGGGGCCATTGCATTAAGGAGATGAGATTCGATGTGAGTGTTCTACTCTTTGTTTTACCTGCTATCTCCAGAAGTCGGTTTCTGTGCTCTCCTTCTGCCAGCTTTACAAATCCAACCTGATTTCCAAATGTGTCCACACCTTGAAAAGGCAAAGTCAAAGGTTTTCCTTGGAGAATTTCTTCTATGAATGGTTTTAATTCCAAAAGCGCATCAATACCCCTGGTAAAAGATCATATATTTTTCAAGAAATACATGAAACAATAAATCCAAATAACAAAATAATCAGTTTAAATTAATTTTACATATAACTTACTTTATTTTGAACAGTTTGCTACCATTTGTGTTAATAGTTTTAAAGTTCAGAATACCTTTTAAAACTAACCTATGTGCTAAAACTTATATATCCTCTCACTAACTGAGTAACTTTTGCTAATTTTTTAATTAAAACTGTGGAGGAAGTGAATTCAGTCTTTACCTAATTATAATTGCTCCTTAAGAAATTAAAGCAGATGCTGTTTCTGTATTGGCCAAGAAATTTTAATGAAGAAAATATTGAATGGCGCATTAAAAAATTATTCATAATATATCCAAGAAAACACAGTACTTACATGCACTTCAATTATGTAGAAAGTTCTAGATTCTTGTTGAAAGAACTAATATTCAACACTTGCTGTCGTTGTTGTAAGTACAGTTGAGTCATTTCTAACTCATAAAAACCCTGTATAAGGTTTCCAAGGAGCAGGTGGTGGGTTTGAACCACCAACCTTACAGTTCAAACCAACTTTGCTGTCCAGTGCTTATCCTACAGCACCACACCAGGATTCCATAGTGTTTACTATTAGCAAAGTGCACTACTACAACTTAATGTACATTATGTCTTATAACAGTGGTGGTGGTAGTTGGGTGCCACCGAATCGGTTCCAATTCATAGTAACCCTGTACAGTGTTTCCGAGGCTATAAATTTTTATGGGAGCAGAAAGCCTCATTTTTCTCCCATGGAGTGACTGATAGATTCAAACTACTGACCATGTAGCTAGCAGTCTAATGCTTACCCCACAGCTCCAGCAGGAGTCTTGGTAAGGCATTGTAGGATAAGCAGTGGACTGCTAACCATAAGGTCAGTGACTCAAACCCACCAGTCGCTCCTTGGACATAGCAACAGGGTTGCTATGTGTCAGAACCGATTCCATGACACTTAACAACAACTCTATTGTGGTGCTGCAGGACACTGCACTGGACCACAAGGTCAGTTTGAACTGAAGGGTCGGTGATTCAAACTTACCAGCTGCTCCTCGGAAACCTATATACAAGGTCACTATGAGTCAGCACTTAGCAACAATTCAACGGCACTTAACACAATAACAACATATTAATGAATTAGACATCAGATTTGGAATAATTTTTTAAATCAGAATCAGTTCTTTCCATTAAGAAAACAATTGCTTCCATCTCTGGTGTCACTGCTTCTCTGGATAGGGTCCTGCGTTCCGCTTGTGCTCTTCTCCCTTGATGGTCCTAAGGGTCCTCTGTTTATGGACTGTAAGATTGACTACTCCCCAGTATTTGTTACAAAACTTCTACCTTTACAGAGTGGGAGCAGCTGAGGACTCTAGATTCATGGAAAGAGAGGACTGAGAGCTGGCAGCCAGGAGGCAGGATTCCAGAATATGCCCTTTGGTGGTGTGCAAATTATTATAAATATACCTGAGTGTTGGGGTTTTTTTTTTTTTTTTTTTTAAAGAGCTAAAATTAAATACTGGTAACTGATGATACATGGGGGGGGGGGATTATGATCATTGTAATGAAACAAGGTGCATGATTTGTTGAATGTAAAACTGATGATCCGCCCTGTAAACTTTCACTCAATGTACAATAAACACTTTTAAAAAATACATTAAAAAAAAAAAAAAAGAACGTAATTGTAGTTATGTTGTTCTTGTTGTCAAGTACTGTGGCATGAGCGCTGACTCATAGCAACTCTGTATAGTTTCCGAGGAGGAGCTGGGGAATTTGAACCATCAACCTTGCAGTTCAAACTGACATTGCAGTCCAGTGCTTATCCTTCAGCACCACACCAGGACTCCATAACTGTGGTGGCTGTTGTAGTTGTTAAGTCAGTTCCGACTCATAGGGCCCCTGTATAGGGTTTATAAAGAGTGGACGGTGAGTTTAAACTGCTGATTTTGTGGTCTGATAGGTACTTTAATGCAAACAAAAAATATTTTTAATATGCATATATGTATCAATCACTAGAGGGCAGCAATTACTCACAAAAGAAATAGTTACAGTGTAAGAGTGCATAGCTGTAAGCCAGAATTTCAGTTATTTTGATCAGGGATTTGTTCACCAGTAACTACTAGTCAAATGAATATGTGATGCGTGGGGGGGGAGGGGGGGGAGGATATATTTTCTTCTATCTTTTATATTTCTAGTCTTCATAGGTAGCTTTTAAGACATAAAACCAAACTCACTGTCAATTCATTGATTCCAACATATAGTGACCCCTAACAACAACAACAATCTATGGTTTCCAAGACTATAAATTTTTAAGGGAGCAGAGAGTCTCATCTTTCTCCCATGGAGTGAACAGCTGGTGGATTTGAACTGCTAATCTTGCAGTTAGCAGCTCAATGCTTGTTTACCTGCAGCACAGCAGAGCTCTTCTTACAACAGTTGCCCAAAGTGAGAGCACACCCTGAATCTTATTATTACTGTGTGTAGAAACTGATGTCCCTGTCACAAATACTTCCCTCGTTTCTCCAAGTAAGAAGTAAATATCCTCTCCTTTTGAATTTCATTAACATTTTATAACCAATCACATGCAATTATTCAATTAAACTGTATAATTCATGAGCCCAGAATCCATTCCAAATTCATCTTTATCGTCACCAAAGCACCTAGCTAAAGATTAGTACATTATTGATGATTAACGATGGCTGAATTGCAAAACAGTATCTTGTCTGATAGCAAACTTTAGTTATCTATTAGATTCCTCATTATAAGTTGAGCTTGAACCACCGACCTTGCAGTTCAAATAACTTTGCAGCCTGACACATTAGCCCACAGCCTCACACCAGGTAATTCACACCAAGGGTAAATTACCAAAGTATGACTATCCAGCTATCATTTTCCAGGACAGATTCTATTCCCCATATCCTAAAGTTGTTGTTATTGTTGTTGTTAAGTGTCATCAAATTGGTTCTAACTCATAGCGAACCTGTATAGGGTTTCTAAGGAGCGACTACTGAGTTTGAACCACCAACCCTGTGGTTCAAACCAATCTCGCGGTCCTGCACTTTATCATACAACACCACACTAGGACCCCTATGGAGGGGCTGGGAGGTTTGAACCATGGATCTTGTGATTCAAACCAACCTTGAGGTACAGTGCCTATCCTATAACACTATAACAGGATTCCAAAGTAGTATTAAGATGTTATTTTAACTCTTCAGCTATCAAGTTGGCTTGTGAAACATTTAGTTTTTTACACAGATGAAGTGTATTTGCAAGCAGACATAAGGGAGTCCTGATGTGGCACTGTAGGATAAATACTCAACTGCGAGGTTGGTTTGAACCACAAGGTCGGCAGTTCAAACTCACTAGGTGTTCCTTGGGTCTCTATAGGTCAGAGCAGATTCAACAGCACTTAACAACAATAATGACAATGGGGAAACTCAGTACTAAAATATTCAGAGTATTAGTGTCTCTGTACAGGATTTGTCAACAGGTGATATTGGGATTTAGGGCAAGATCATTACCTCCTCCTGTACTGCAGGAGGTTTAACAGCCCTGATTCCTGCCTATAACACCCCTTAATGATGATGACAAACAAACATGCCCCTCAATATATATAAAACTTTCATAACTTAACAATAAAAATACAAATAACCCAGTGGCAAAATGGGCAAAGGACTTGAATAGACATTTCACCAAAGAGGATATTCAAATGGCCGCCAAATACATCAAAAGATACTCAGATACTCAGCTGTTAGCTATCAGCTAATCAAAACTGTGATGGGATACTGTTTCCCATTAGCAAAGCTGAGATACATAAAATACTGGTGAGGATGTGGGGAACCTGGAACCCTTATTCACTGCTAGTTGGAAAGAAAAATGGTAGAGCCACTCTAGAAAATAGTGTAGAGATTTCTCAAAAAAACTAAAAATAGAACAACTATTATTGTTAAGTGCCATTGAGTC